ACTTTGTTTGTTGCAACGGATTATTGTAACACTCCGAAGAATTAAATGAGATTAATTAAGGTAATTGAGATTTATTAGTGTGCCTAATATAGTTTAATTAATTGATTATTGATTAATAAATATATCTGACGAGTAAATTTAAATAATTATAAGGTATTTAAATATTTACAGTATTTACATTTTACACAGAAGTGTGTATGAACACATTTCTGAACTGTCATTTTAAATGTTTGAAACCTGTCCACTTTTCTTTTCTTTTCCTTTTTCTTTTTCTTTTTTTTCTTCCTTTTCCTTTTTCCTTCCCGTGCATTCTCTCTCTCTCTCTTCACTCTCGTTCTCACTCTCTCTCCCGTTTTGATTCAAACAACCAAATCTCGAACCAAAGAGGAATTTCAAGAAGTTTTCAATGTCAAGGGAATGATTTGAATTAAGATTTCTGAAAACCTCTCTTAAAACTCGAATTTTTCAGATTTAAAAATTTATTTTTGGTTCGAAATAGATTTTGATGGATTTTGAGTAAAACTGTGGTAGAAATTAGAGATCTTAGGTTCTTTGGACTTGATTTAGTACTTAGAACCCAGATCTAGTGGTTTCTTCTTTGAGATATTTCGATTTGGGACTTAGATTTGCAGGTTTTGTGCTGACTTTCTTCTGATTGGCCCTTTTGGGCATCCTGCCCTGATTCCACCGATCGACCTATGTGGTCGACTGGTCTGCACTACATTAGGTCGACTTGTGCGGTCGACCGAAGTGCACACCATCGGTTGACCAGTGGTGTTGTATTGCGCTGTCACCGGTCGACCGGTGCACACACGGTTTGACCCTGTTTTGTTGAAAAATCTTGTTTTGACCATGATTTTTTAGGAGAACCCAAATTAACTTCATTTGGGGACCTAGAATGAATGGATTAGCTTCTTTAATCCATGTTTTGAGATTGAAAACCCTTGGAATGATGATTGGAAACATGAATTGATTTATTAAACTTGAAATTTGATTAAGGCACACTAATAGGAAATCGAAGTGTATAATTGGTATTGAATTACTTTAGGAATGAGAATTGGATCCTAAAGTTTGGTTTTGTATCAGTGCTAGCTGAGGACTCGGATTGAGGGGCTTTGGGGAAGCGAAAGCTAAAATAGTATAATGCTAGCCAGGTTTGATATTTGTGAGGTAGGATTTCTTACCCTTTCTTTGTGAGCCTGTTTTCAAAGAGTTTTGGCATTGCAAATATTTTAAAGAAATGACATGTTTGCAAAAGAAAAACAGGTTTAAAAATAATAGCTTGATTTTAGCTATTGGAATTATAATGAACTGTTTCATAAAGTTTAATGAATGATTTCTTAAGACAAGAGATCTTGTGAATCGGTAAACCGGCTGATGGCCTAGATAGGATGTGGAGAGTGCATCCTTGGGGGCAGAACCTGAAACCCAGCCCGGGGGTGATTAGGCTTGTGCACGTGGTTGTGTAAGTAATTTATCATAGTATAAATTACTTGCTGATGCCTGTAATACATAGATTTTCAGTTATATTTCCTTTGAGAAAAAGGATGTGAGGTTCCGACTGTTGTGTTGGAACTGAATGTCTTATTTATTCATTTATTTATTTATTTACTTGCTTACCCATTTATTTATTTATAAAGTTATTTCAAAATATATCATACTGGATCTTTCGCTCACGTTTTATTGGTTTAAAAATATTAAACCCCTCCCAGGCAACTCTAGGAGTAGTGCGGAGTAGCTGAGTGCTACCACCCGATTAAGAGAGGATTGTGTTCATCCTCCTAGTGTACGAATGTAAGAATTTGTAAATTCTGTAAACTCTGATATTTGGATTTCTAGACTGTAGTTGATGTCTGTAATGTTATTTACATGCCCATGTATGTACAATACTGAAGATTTTGTGGATAGATCCTGTGGGTGTAGCCCTGAACAGTGTAAGAGGCGGGAGTTTTAGCCTCTTGAGATGTTCTTGTAATTTATTTTCGATAAAATAGTGGGGCTCGTTCAGAGATTTCTTTAATATTTCACTGTTGGTTTTAATTATTAAATGTTTAACTCCTAATCAAGCATCCACGTCATCGACCCCTGCCCGGGGCGTGACAGTTATAATATCATAATATATGCCTCGTTCACTTCGCGGATTCGAGTTTTCAATTCGAGCTGAGATGTGACACTTTCTGAGAGCTTTTTACTGTAGCAGAAAAAGTTGATGTGATATTTTCTGAGAGCTTTTTACTGTAGAAACCTAAAACTGAAAACTCGAATCGGTGAAATGAACGAGGCCATAGTCTATTATCAGAAACTCTAATTTAACTGAAAAATCTCAATTTAAAAGTTTTCCCGTTCTTTTGAAGTGTGACTTGAGTATAGTTTTTGAGTTAATTTGAGTTATAATTTGAGATGAAGTTGTAACTTGAGTTTGTGTTTGGTTGTGTACATTTGAGTTATGTTTTAAGATGAAAATCTTTTTGAGTTTGTGTTTAAGTGTATAATTATACTTGAGTTGTGAATAGTGGGAATAGAAAAAATATTTTTTTTATTTGATTTTATTTCATTTAATGCTACAAACAATATGTTGTTTTATTTTTCTCCTCTAAAAATGACAACAAATTCGATCTCTCTGATCCGGGTCCGAAACGACGACTCGACGATATTTCTCTTCGATTGGTTCTACAACGCCCTCGCTTCTCTCGGGCAGTGGCAGAAGGAGGCCAAGATCACATGGGTGAGGAATCTCTCAGGCGGTGCTTTTTCAGGAATATACACTGTAGAAGTGCAGAGAGGTAAACTCGGGTAGTATGGGAATATGAACTCGAGAAAGGAATAGGTAACTCGAAGTTAATTTCGAGTTTGGTTTTGAGTATACTGGCGCCGAACACCAACTTGGCCAAAATTCATCACTTAAGTGAGCCTTTCTCGAGTAAATCTACCCAACCGAACAGCCCCTTAGAATAGTGTGCCCGTTTGACCCTAAATCGGCGAAACACTCTTCCTGAAAAAAAGTTGGCCTCACTTGATTATGGTTTGCTCAGGTGATTGTCATGTTTGTTTTGCAAAAAAAAAAAAAAAAAGAAAGGACGAGAGTCTTAAGAAAGTGGGAGTGGCACACAATAACAAAAAGGACATGGACTGGAAAAATTAACTGGAATAAAAACAATATTTAGAGTAGAATGTAAAAAACCGGAGAGACGACAATCACTGGTACAAACAAAATTAAAATAATAAGAGAAACTATCACTTTTTTATTACTCTATACATTTATTGACTCGTTGATACATAAATTTTATTAATATAATATATTATTATCTAAAAAAATGAGATAATAAAATTCACATATCAAATAATAAATATATAAAATGACAAAAAAAATAATATTAGTATTTCTCAAATAATAAACGACAAGTCAACAACTAACAATAATACGGCTAAAATCGATACTCAAGACGATACACTCATTATTATCTATATATACTTAAAATAGTCAAGGAGTGAGCGGTCATGTATTGACCTCTATAGAGGCCACATATTGGCCTCTTTTTTTTTTTTTTTATCTTTTTTTTTCTCTATTGTTTTTTCTTTTTGCATTTTTAGACTTTTTTTATATTTTTCATCTCTCTCTTTTTTTTCTTCCCCTTACCTATTGCCTTTTTATTTTCCCTCAGTATTGCCTACCTATTATTACCTTTAGCAGTAATGCTTTTGCCTAATTTAAAACATGCATTTTGATTCTTTTACTTTTTTTGTTCATTTTAAATGTTATGTTTTCTAATTGTACTTTATTAAACCTTATATCTTAATATGCTCTTATTTAAATAATTTCAAATGTATACTTGTTTAAAATTTTTTATTATTAATATATTTTTTTAAATGCACGTGTTTAAAAATATAACATATTAAATACTCACGACATATGCGCGTGTTTTAATTAATATTACCTAGAAATGTAACAATAATTTAAACGAGATATACTGTGGAAACTATAATTTGAAAAACGACATAAAACATAAACAAGGGAAAGGTAAAACGACAGCAAAAACTACAAAATATAGAAAAATACTAAAAATAACAAATGGTCTCTTCCTGCGCAGTCTACCCTTCCCATATCCTGACATTTTAATAAATTTTTTTTATTACCGAAATACCTAATCAAAATTCTCTTTTTTTTTATTTTTATTTTTTACTTTTTTTCTTTATCTTTATCATTAAAAGAAGTCACATTGCTGTAGATGTTCAATCAAGAAATACAGATTATAAGATAACAAACAACAATTGAAACAGCCATTAATAAAGACATCATCAGAGAAAACCAATAGTAGAAAAAGAAATAAAAAAAAAAACACAATACAAAACGACGAAATGGGAAAATGTAAAATGACATACTATAATAAATGCGTATAGGATAAAAACGATGATAGGGGGAAGAAATACAATATAGGAAGCGACAACAATAATTTATAACAGCATCGAAAAACGACGGTAGTAAAGAATCATGCTAATTCTTAAAAGAAGTATTATGGCGTAAAAGAGGAAGAATTTTTTGCACCAATGCTAGAAATATGAGAACTTGTGTATTTTACATTAGGATTTTATGAATTTTGAATACTTGATTGTTTAAGTTGTAATAGATTTGTGAATTTTAAAAATAAATATTTATAAATTTTAAATGTTAAATGTTAAAATTATAAAAATTATGACAGACTGTTCAGAAAAAAATAACATTTTTATAATAAATAAAAGATTCACTAGGTAAACGAACAAGTTACATTGATAAAATTTTCATTTACCGTTTATTTATTTTAAATATTTTTTTACTTGGTTTAATTAATTTTTATAAAAGATAAAATACTATCTACTATAATTTCTAAAATAAAAAAGAAAAACAAATAATTTTTGCGAACTGATCACGGGCTGCCGGGCTGGGAGCCCAAAAAGCCCACTAAGATCACCGTCCTTTTCTCAACTGCTGAAAACGTGAAAACAGCTGGCTCGAATTCGGCATCGGCAGTTCTTCCGGTTCGATCGAGCCATGGCTTTCTCTTGTCCAACATTTACCGACAAATAATCTCTCTATCTCTCTCTCACACTTCCGCCATAGCCAAAGCCTAAAGCAGCTCCGAAATGGATCAGGACGCGGCCCCTCGCCGGGCCCGCAAAGTCCCTCCGAGGCCCGAGCTCTACTCCACTGTAGTCATCCACGACGACGACGAAGAAGACGGTGAACAACAAGAAAGATTCAACCCCAAGACCAAGACCAAGACCAAGACCTCCGACCAAGACCAGGACCTCTACGCCACAATGGTTTACAAAGGCGACGACGGCGACGAGGAAGACGACGACGCCTCTCTCCCTCCTCTCCTCAAGCGCCTCCCCAAGGACTTCGGCGGCGGAGCTTCCATCGATTACTTCGACTACGAAGACGACGACGACGACGGAGGGAACGATTTTGGAACTATGATCGTCAAGACCGATCGCAGTCGCCCTCGGAGCCGGTCGACCTCCACGTCCTCGTACTCCTCCGCGAGGAGAGGGCCTGCTCCTCCGCCGCCGGCGCCGGCGCATCTCCCTCGCGGCTCGCCGTTCGCCGACGCGAGGCGAGGGAACACGATTAAGAGGGCGGTTGATGAGGAGGAGAAGGAGGAGGAAGAGGACGGCGATGGATTCTCGACGTTTGTGGTGCGGTCGGGGGAGAGGGAGTCGGTGAGCGGGACGGTGGTGAGGAGGACCGGCGGCGGCGACGTGGGATCGACGATGAGTAGGGCTGTGGCGAGCATGCAGGCGGTGGGAGATTTAGGGTTTGGGAAGCAGAGGAAAGGGAGCGGATCGTCGCAGGGGGAAGAGGCTCGGCAGTTGGCCAAAATGTCGTGCAGTTCGATTCCCGAGAGCGTTACCAGGGAAGATCCGACCACTAAGTACGAATTGCTCAACGAGCTTGGTGAGTTTCTTGTAATCCTGATTATCATTGTGTTTAGATTGCACATTTCGTGTTGTTAATTGCTCATTAAGCTTGGTGAGTTTGTCGTAATCCAAATTATCATTGTGTTCAGATTTCGCATGTCGTGTTGTTAATTGCTCATTAAGTTTGGTGAGTTTTGGTAATGCAATATATAAATTCGTTTGAGTTACGCGTTTTGCTGTTTCTAATTGCTTAGTGAGCTTGGTAAATTTTCGCGATGCAAGTTATCAATTCGTTTGGATTATGTGTTTTGCATTGCTAATTTCTCAATGAACTTCGCGATTAGTTGTAATGAGAATTGTTGGTGCATTTGGGTTATATACGTTTAATGTCGCTAATTGCTCAATGAGCTTGGTAATTTGCCTTGATGATAATTATCACTCATCAGTGTGCTTGGGTTATGTGTTTTGTTTTGTAATTTTGCTGAGAAAGGTTGTCTGGTTATGGGGAATGGCAGGGAAAGGGTCTTATGGTGCAGTTTACAAGGCCAGAGATTTAAAAACCTCGGAGTTGGTTGCTATCAAAGTCATATCATTGACTGAGGGGGTGAGTTTTCCCTTTTCTTTTCTGGTTTTTGCTTGTTTTTCTCTTGGGTTTTAGTGAAATACTGAGAAGATCGAGTCATATCTGTGCTTTCAGGAGGAGGGATATGAAGAAATCCGGGGAGAGATAGAGATGTTGCAGCAATGTAGTCATCCGAATGTTGTTCGGTACCTTGGGAGTTACCAAGGAGAAGAGTATCTTTGGGTAAGAATAAAGAAAGTCATTACTTGTCAAAATCTTGTAAAAAAGCAGCTGTCTTGGTGATATTTTGTGCGTGGATGTTTTAAAATTTGGGACAGCTATTTTTTGCTGTCTTGGCAGATAGTAATGGAGTACTGTGGGGGTGGAAGTGTTGCCGACTTGATGAATGTTACTGAGGAGCCTTTGGAGGAGTATCAAATAGCATTTATTTGTAGAGAAGCGTTAAAGGTAATATCAACGCATTAAACTTCCATTTTGAAACATAATCGATGCTTTGCACTGATAATTTTTCTTCAAACCCCCTGTCAATGCAATTAATTAGTCTAAGCTTTTGGTCATATGTTATAGCAGAGAGAGGGTTCCCTTGATTTCTCGGATTTGTTAATTGTTATGTGGAAGTATTCACCAAGTGCCCAATAATGCCTTTCATTTTCTCTCCTCTTAGTTACACTTTTGTGTTTTAGTTATGCAAATTGTCCGATGCTAATGTCAACATATGTTCAAATTCAATCATTTTTTTCTTTTTCCTTGTGGTACCTTTTTCGTTGAGACTTGTTTCATTCCTAACATGTTGTAGGTTTGGACTTTTTTGTTTCCTATAGGGGCTTGCTTATTTGCACTCGATTTTCAAGGTGCATAGAGATATCAAAGGTGGTAACATTTTGTTAACTGAACAAGGGGACGTCAAGTTGGGTGAGTAGGCTTAATCAGCTATTTCTATACCAGATAGATTTTAGTATGTCTGAGTTTGTGGGTGACTAAATTGTAGTTATTTTACTAAAGTGATGTCAGACTTATTCTTCTCTTACTGTTGATTTTGATCACTAGTAACTCCTGACATGCTTATACTAGAATGACATGATAATTGTTTTTATAATTTGGTTAGCAGGAATTTATTTTAACATTATAATGTGACAAAGAAAAGGAAGTATTGCACAGCGGTCCTCGGTCTTTTCTATTGCTCTTGCATTAAACTAAAACTGATTTTAATATTAGGTTTTATTTTTTGTTGATAAAATGAGCAGGTGATTTTGGGGTTGCCGCACAACTTACGAGGACCATGTCAAAGCGCAACACGGTAAATTATCATTAAACCTGTTTAAAATGACATACTATATAACATAAATGTTTTATAATGTTAATTCTCGAATGCTAATACTTGATTAATTGATGGCGTCATATATCACGATTCCAAGTGGATCTTGGCAGCGCTGTCTGAGATGATATTTCTTCTTGACGTATTGAATTTCTTTATTATTTGCAGTTCATCGGTACCCCACATTGGATGGCTCCAGAAGTTATTCAGGAAAGTCGTTATGACGGAAAGGTATCAAATTTTCTATTTTCAGCTTCTTTCTAATATGAATTGCCTGGATTTGGAGTCAGAGTCCCTGGGTTTCATGCATTTTAAGTTGCTTGGTTTAGATAGAATTCTTACTGTCTTGCTTGGGTTAAAGAAAATGCTTACTGTTTTCTTTGCTATTGTTTGCCTTCACGATAAAAACTAAAGTAAACTGTAATAGTTGTGCCAGAGATGCAAGTGTAAATGACTTGCAGCACATTTATATAATCCTGATTATCAAGAAACTACGTGAATGCAGAAGATCAAGAAGGAATAAGCTTTCTGTGTATTTAAGCCACATAGTAGTTTAGTGTTACATTAAATCTTTTTGATCCATAGACACCACGCACTAAAGGGTTTAGTGATCAAAGTCCCTTTCATATAACTATGTAGGTATAATGAAGGATCAATAGCAAATTGCCCTAAAAACTTCAGTTATTGAAGGGACAAGTACTAGTTATATATATATCCTATTGGATGAAAGTTAGAATAAGATCACATTTGTTGTTCAAAGGTGTTTGTGATATTCTATGGACTCGTTTTAACCTTGTTTTGTTTTGTTTTTGTTTTGTTTTTGTTTTTTGTTTTGTTTTTTTTATTATTTATTTTTATTTATTTTTTGTTTTTTGCTTTCTCCAGGTCGATGTATGGGCTCTTGGTGTGTCTGCAATTGAAATGGCAGAGGTAATATCTAGTGAAAGTGATTTATTCTTAAATTTACTGGACAATATTTGAAAGCAGGCATCTTTTAGACTTCGATTGTAAACTGTTTATATTTCTCGTTTTATGTGGCCTGGGAGTTTATAAGATACAATACTTCAGTTTCGTTGCAAGAAATTATTATAGGGCTGTGTTGAAGGACTCAAAACTTGTTTGTCTTTTGCATGCTTGAACCTGGAGAGTTAGTTACCTGGTGTATAAAGAAAAAGTGATGTTAGTGGGTTATTATTGTCATCGTTGACTAGTTTATCTTGCGTAATGTTGTTGGGTTATTATTTCCTCCTGATTGCTTCCTCACTTCCCTCCCTCCCTCCCTCCCTCCCTCCCTCCCTCTCTCTCTCTCTCTAGAAATTCTTGAGATTTTGGTTTTGATATGTCAGATTCTTTCTTAGTAATGATCAAATGATTTTTTTTTGTTCATTTAATTTCAGGGGCTCCCTCCAAGATCTGCAGTGCACCCAATGAGGGTTAGTATTTATTTCTGTTTATTGTTTATTTTATTTTTCCAATTGTGATTGGCAAGCTTATGGGTAACATGTTTATCGTTGATTATAGGTTTTGTTCATGATATCAATTGAGCCAGCTCCGATGCTTGAGGATAAAGAAAAATGGTTTGTTTTTCCTTCCTTTTCGATTCCTTTTTGATCCACAATCTTTTGTAGCTATTAATGACATAATAAATGCTCAAGAATTTCTGCTTTTAATTTTACATCTCAAGTTCAGATCATTATGGACATCCTACATCATGTCATTTAATTTTGAGGGTCTCCTCTTTCAGGTCTCTTGTGTTTCATGATTTTGTAGCAAAGTGTTTAACTAAAGAACCACGTTTACGTCCCACTGCATCCGAGATGCTGAAGGTATATCCAATACATGCCTATATTTCTTAGCAAGTTATTAATGATTTGATATATATATATATATATATATATATATATTCTGGTGCTTTGTAGGTCGTGTATTTTCTTGAATTTTGTGGAACCTGGTTAACATTGTGCGTTATGGATTTTGTGATTTATCTATAAAAGGATGAAGAAAATAAATGAATGAATAAATAAGCAAATTGTATATGCACGGTCATTTCTAAGCTCCTTGCTTTTTTATCACGTTATATGCAATAAAATTCCAGTTTTTGGACTTCTATCCTGACTTCAAGCTACTTTTTCCTGTATTTGAAAATAGCATAAATTCATTGAAAAATGCAAATATGGGCCATCTGCAATGTTGCCAAAGATTGAAAAGGCCAGACAATATAGGGCTTCACTGGCTTTACAAGCGCAAAGTGTTGCTCCAGCTGTGCCAGGAGATGGTGTATGAATTCATCTTGTTTAATCTTTCTTTTCCCCTCTTTTGTGTGAATTTATCATTAAAATTGCTTAAATTTTTACAGACACTGGTAGCTTCTAAAGTGAACGATGATTATGGAGATACTGTTCCATCGAAACCTCAAAATGTTGGTCAGGTGGCAAATGAGGGTCCCACATCCAACACCTTAAGTAAGCAGCAAGTGTCAGATGGCATGGAACTGGGTGCAGAAGGTATGTACGGCTTTGATCTTTCTTACTTTTTATGTCCAACTTTGTTGAATGAGTTCAGATATTTGGACCTGTCGTAATATGAAACTTAAACACTGCATTGAAGAAGGGGGTTGGGGTTGCCCTTTTGGTGAACATGCTCTATATTTGGACCGATTCAATAAAATAGCATCTGATTGGACCATTAAAAAAATTAAGCAATGCATAATTGTTATTCCATTTTTCTGAAATTCTTTAGCTTTAAGGTTTGAAAAGTGTAATTTTCATTATTTTTTATTTTTACATGATTTTCTAACCTAGTTGAAAATACAGGTGTTTTTGGCACAGTTGTAATTCATCATGGAGATGAAATTGACGAGGCAGCCACTGTTTCACAAGTCTCCACCGTTAAAGAACCTTCACCTGCTGCAGGAAGTTTTGAAAGCCCTTCTGTCAGTAAATCACATCAACCCAGGTACTTCCCTTCCAATACTGATGGTCCTTTTGAGTAAAAGAAAAACCTAGTGCTATTTCTCACCATGTTTTATATTTATCAACAGGTTTATATCGTTATCTTTTTAAAACATTCTTTTATGTTCTCTCTTTTGAAAAGAGGATTGACATTTTGTTGTCATAGTTGGTATGATTTTTTTGCAAGTGGTCTCAAATGGCATGAGCTCAATGTTACTTGAGAGCTGAGCTTTTGATTACATACCTTTTTGATGGAAATGCATAAATAGTACTTTGTTGTGAATTGTGATATTCTTTGCGTATAGAATAAGAACTATGTTTAATATCTTCAAGAGTACACTAGATAATTGGGATATTCTGCCAGTGTGGAAATTTCAGGACGTGTTTCTGAAAATAATAATTCAATTGGAGGTTCACATCCTACCCAGACAATACAGGAATCTTCTCCATCACTTATAGGTTATTCTGGCCAGGACTTCAAGACAAAAAGCTCTTCTCGTTCTCAGGTTGAAGTTGGAAGTAGCATGACTCTGAAGAGCGAAACTGTCAGCCGAAAAGCTTTTGCATTGCAAGATAAGGTACATTTTGTTCAAACTCCCTGCAAATACCCAATAATTTAAACCTTTTTACTTCTGAAACTTTCTTTAAAGCTAGAAGGACGATATTTCAGCTCCTAGTTAAAATTATCTTCGTTTGAGTAATTGGAACTTTCTTTGTCCCCATGAATTACCAGTATAAAATATAATTATCTAATTGAAGTCTTAGTGCTTCAACTTTCTGGAGGTTTCTTGTTCCAAATCTGAGACGCATTCATGAAAATGTAGAAGTTGCATGGAAAGAAAAAGTTGCGTGGAAAGAGACACTTGGAGGGTAAGAAGTTTGAAGAGAATACAGAAAAGTGCCAATAAAACTAAAAAGAAACAGAGACACCAGTGACTCAGAACACTCTTTCAACTTAACATACATGATTGTAATTGTTATACCAACATGAGATTCTGATTACTTGTTACTATCCTTACAGCTTTTCTCCATTTATGCTGCTGGTAATACAGTGCCTATCCCATTTTTGAGGGCAACGGATATATCTCCTATTGCCCTCTTATCAGACAATGTTCTTGGAGGATCACAGTGGGATAGTGGTGGAACCATAGCGGTGGAAGCACTTCAGGAGCTTTTTACTGGTGATCCACAGTCCAAAAAGGGTAGAAGAGGGCAAAATGAGGTTCTTTCTCTCCCTCTCTCTCTCATATTTTCTTTGTTTGTGTGCGGCAGTGCGTGCTTTTGTTTGCGTGTAATTTACAGATGTTGTTTTGTTCATTTGATGTGCTGCAGATGCCTCTTCCCCCAAGTATTTATCAAAGGCTCACTTCAAGTTCAACACTGCTGAATCTGGCGCAGGCTCTCGCATACCACAAAACGTAAGTTAAGAAGATTAGAAGATTTACTTGTTTGTTTGTGGGTATGTATAAAATACGTGTGCGCGTGTATTTGTATAGTTAAATTCTCACATTTTTGGAGTGACCTTTCACCTGAAAAATGGTTATCAGTTCCTGCTTGTAACATGTATCTATGTATCTCGCTATGTTTCGGGTTCAGTGTGCTATGGGTAATCCTGTACTTTGCTCTTTGAATTGCTTCAGCTGCTATGAAGACATGCCACTTCAGGAATTGCAAGCGACTCAAGAGCAACAGACTATTCAAAACCTATGTGATACCCTAAGAACCATTCTCCGACTGTAGATAATTACTGGCTGCAAATTTCTAACTCTGCTTTTCTTCATTTCTATTAGCCTATGCAACTCTTTACCCTTGCAATGTTTCCATTGGAGCTGGGGATAGCGGCATTGGGTATTTTATTCTGGGCAGCTTCTCTCCATGTATATTTTGTTTACTTTTTGTTTTTTTGCTTTTATCTTATTCTATGTTGATTAATATGCAAAGTTTTTTTTTTCCTCTTAGTTTTTCCTCTTTTGGGTATTAATACTTCGATATAAACAGTTTAATATGCATTGTTGTAACCATTTCTTGAAAATCAATTAATGAAATTTATTAATTAACATGAAAATTCATCATTGTTATTATTATTATTATTATTATTATTATTAGTATTAGTATTTGTTGGTTTTTGGTATTAATACTTGGATACAAAGCCTATTTGGTTTGAACGCCGCAACCATTCCAGAAAATCAATGAAGATGAATGAAATTTATCGTGTTCTGTCTTTCTTGTGTAGTTCGTAAGTTTTCCCAACTTCCTCCTCTCCCTCCGTAATTAGTTGTACAATGAGGAACTTGTAGTTTGGTTGACATAAATCTCTAAACGACAGCAAACTTTAGAACAAGTGATGTGTCGTTTTTGGCAACAGACATACGTCGATGTCATGTCGTTTCTTTATTAAACTAATTTTAGATTGTAACGGACGACTTCGGTTTACGAATAAAAGATAAAAATCTTTTACAAGAAACAACATATATAAAGAAATTTAACATTTAATTGTTTGTTGTAATGTTATAATTGATATGTTAATTATAGATTTAATATTTAATTGTAAAAATTAATACAATATTATTTGTTGTATTAAATCTTTTATATGTTATATTTTATGGTAATTTTTTTTACTAAGTATAAAGAAATTTAACATTTAATTGTTATTAGTTGAAATGTTTATTTTTTTTTTTTATGTAATCACATCTTTTAAATATCTTTCAAAACTTAATAATTATAAAAAAAGTTAAATTTAATATTTTAAATATCATTATGTATTAAAACAAAAATGAAAATAACATTAAAATATATAGTTGACAATATCATTTGGGAAATGGTTACGGTAAAAGGCAGCAAAAACTTTTTAGGGTTTAACTTGGGGGTTTAGCGAAAACGACATCAAACTTTCAAAGGGGAAAATCGGTGGCGAATCCAACTGGAAAGTCCTAGAGAAGAAGAGCCAACACCGGCAACCGCTGAAACGGAAACATTTTTTTTTTACTTTTTTTTTTATGGAAGAAAACAGTCGGACCGTTTAAAGCCGATAGAGACGACGAGGAAGAAGAAGAGCCTGACGGAAAGGCAAAGATTAATATGAAAATGATTAACAATTTACTCCGACTCTTCACTTCCTCTTCGTCTTTCAGACGCCTTTCCACACTCCAAATACATTCCCTCCTCAACGACCTTCCTTCTTCTGGTTTTCCTTATAGACCCACTTCCATTACTTCTCCTGCTTCTTCTTCTTCTTCTTCTTCTTCCGCTACTTTCCGGTTTCTAAAAACCAGTTCCTCCAGAGATTTTGTCGATGGAAAACACGACCCTTTTTCAGGTACACCTCTCTCTCCTTCACATTATTTATTTTTTTTATATTTATTTATTGTTTCATGGGGTTTTATATAGTTTCTTTCAGCTTTGGTTAGGTTTGGATTAGGAATAGACCTGTCTTTATTTTCCCAATTGGGTTCTTCCATTTACACTCCTGCTCATAATTATATAAAATTTCCCTGCATTTCTCAGCAACCAAACAGGTAGTATCCGTATTGAATTTTGTTACAAAGTTAAAATGCTGTTGTTGGTTCTTTGTGAAGTTCGGAGCTTTTAAATTCCATGTGTCATTTTTCACGGAATAGACTTTTTAGACTTGTAATGTCTGAAATTAGAAAACGATACTTTTTGCTTAGTTGTTGCAGGTTTCTTCGTGACAATCATCATTATTTTGATTTTTTTTTCCTTTCTTTTTTGGCTCTTGATTTATTTTTTGCCAATGAAAGAGAATGAAGAGAGGGACATTTCGAATGGATGGGAAGAGGGAGAGACTTCAGATGGATGGGAAGACGAGGATGAAACTGAGCCTGAGGTAACCAATGCAAAATCTACTCACCCTTTTATGTTTTAGCTATACTAGTTATGCCTAATTAGGATGATTCTGATAATGAATAGTATGCTGATGGAGGAGATGGTGGTGGAGTTGTATTGAATGGTCTTCCATGGGGCGAGCGGGCCTTTTCCATTGCCCTTGAGGTCTTGTCACAATTTGGTGATGACATCAAACTCTTTGCTTTCAAGACTACTCCTCGAGGATATGTCTATGTTAGACTGGACAAACTGTCACACAAGTAAATTTTCTCCTCTTTTTTTATTGATTTGTTTTGCATTCATCGATATAGGTGGTTGCATGCTTAGCCTAGCGTGACCCTTACCTCTAATGTTGAGGTCTAGAGTTTGAATCTCCACGCCCCCAGTTCAAAAGTAGAAGAAAAACTTTGTTGTCTGAATAGGAATTTTCACTTTTCAGTTTGTGTTGTCCACTATTTTATTGTTTTGCCAAGGCCTTCTATATTGTTTTTGAAAGTTTTATGAATGGACTTCGGTAATCTTTTATTAAATCACTTAAGACTTAAATAGTCATACATACATTGGAAAGGAAATACTAAACCGCAAATCTAGGAACTAACATAACAACAACAACATAAATAAAGGACCTAGCCGAGAATCCCTTATTCTATGGCTAACCATCTAACTAACTTGATATTTCTAACACTCCCCCTCAAGTTGGTGCATAGATGTCAATAATCCCTAACTTGTTTACAAATGAGCCAAACATTGGTCTAGACAATCCCTTAGTTAGGATGTCTGCAAGTTGCTCTGTTGTTGGTACAAACGGGGTACAAATGAGTTCGGCCTCTAGCTTTTCTTTTATGAAATGCCTATCCACCTCAACATGCTTTGTTATGTCGTGTTGGACTGGATTGTGGGCTATGCTAATAGCTGCCTTATTATCACAATACAATCGTATTGGTAGTAGGACTTGTTGCTTTAACTCTTGAAGTACACGTTGAACCCATAATACTTCACACACATCATTGGCCATTGATCTGAACTCTGCTTCAGCACTGCTCCTTGCAACTACGTTTTGCTTTTTACTTCTCCAAGTAACGAGGTTGCCCCACACAAAGGTGCAGTATCCCGATGTTGATTTCCTGTCTGTAACCGAACCAGCCCAATCCGCATCAGAAAAAACTTCAACTCTTCTGTCTTCCCCCTTTTTAAAGAACAACCCCTTCCCTGGACAACTCTTTAAGTACCTTAATACTCTATAAGCTGCCTCTAGATGTTCTTCACATGGTGAATGCATAAACTGGTTGATCATACTTACTGCAAATGCAATGTCTGGGCGAGTGTGCGACAAATAAATTAACTTTCCTACCAATCTTTGATATTGGGAAGTGTTTACCGGTACCCCTTGCTTTGCTTCTCCCAACTTTTTATTTGGGTCTATTGGTGTCTCTGTTGGTTTACAGCCACTCATACCCATTTCCTTTAGAAGGTCTAGGATGTATTTTTGTTGTGAAACAATGATGCCCTTTCTGGATCTTGCAATCTCCATACCTAGGAAATACTTCAGTTCTCCAAGGTCCTTGATTTCAAACTCCTTGGAAAGCCCCCTTTTAAATCTTTCGATCTCCACTAAATCATCTCCGGTGAGAATGATATCATCTACATACACAATCAGCACCGCTACCTTCCCTGCCTCAGAGAACCTGAAAAACATAGTGTGATCGGACTGAGATTGAACATAACCTTGACCTTTTACAAATCGTGTGAACCTGTCAAACCATGCTCTTGGAGATTGCTTGAGTCCGTACAAAGATTTTTTTAACCTGCACACTTTTGACCCAAACTTGTCCTCAAATCCGGGGGGTGGTTCCATGAAGACTTCTTCTTCTAAATCTCCATTAAGGAAGGCATTCTTCATGTCTAGTTGCTGCAATGGCCAATCCCGGTTCACTGCAATAGATAACAAAATCCGAACAATATTAAGTTTAGCCACGGGTGCAAAAGTCTCCATGTAATCCACACCATATGTTTGTGTGAATCCTTTGGCAACTAATCTAGCTTTGTATCTTTCAAGTGTTCCATCAGCTCGGTATTTGGTGGTGAAAACCCATTTGCAGCCCACTATTGATTTTCCCTTTGGCAACTCCTCTACTCTCCATGTCTTATTTTTCTCAAGAGCACTCATCTCCTCTAGAACTGCCTTCTTCCACTCTGGACTTTTTAAAGCATCCTGTATATTGTTAGGAATCTCCACAGAAGAAACATTAGTGGTGAAAGCAAAAAAACGAGGGGAAAGCCTTTTATAAGACACGAAGTTGGACATGGGATATTTGGTGCATGAGCGTTTTTCTTTTCGGATGGCTATTGGAATATCTAACTCACCAGACAACTCTGATTTTTGAATAGAGGACTCGACTTCAGGATTTTCTGGTTCTGAGTTAGATTCTTGGCAAGGCTGAGAGGCTTTGGTACCTGTCTTCTGATGAGGGAACTTTCTCTCATAAATCTGTCCAAATACTTTCCCTATTTGACTTCTATTTCCGTTGGTAGTTATTTGTTGAGATACTATGGGTGCAAACTTCAGGATTTTCTGGTTCTAAGTTAGATTCTTGGCAAGGCTGAGAGGCTTTGGTACCTGTCTTCCGATGAGGGAACTTTCTCTCATAAATTTGTCCAAATACTTTCCCTGTTTGACTTCTATTTCCGTTGGTAGTTATTTGTTGAGATACTATGGGTGCCATACCTCTTTCTGAATTTTGAATTTCAATTGAAGAATCCTTTTGTTTTTGAATTTCAGATTCCTTGTTTTTCCCTTTTTCGGTTTCAACAGATTCTTCCTCCATGTTCGAATTCAAGTCCACAGAATTTGAATTGTTTTCAAAATCCCTGATTAGTTCTGGATCCGAATTTGAAAAAATATTGGGACTTGAATCCGAATTGTGGTGTTGGTTTTTAAAATTTGCTGGTTTTCAGGAGAATCAGTGATTTGTTCAATCCTGAGAAAATCCAGGGAATCAGGAATCTGTTCAAACCTGCAAGAACCCAGGGCTGGTGAATCCAAGTGGTTGAGACTTTTAAAAAACGAATCTTCATGTCTATTCTCCCCCTGAAGATGAGCTGCAAAATATGGTTTGTTTTCAAAAAACAAAACGCCCATAGTGATGTATATTTTCTTTGAAACAGGGTTAACATTTAAAGCCTTTTTGATTTGCTACAAAACCAACAAACACGCATTTGGTTGCTCGAGGATCAAGTTTTCCTCGGGTTTTATCTTGACTGTGAATAAACACAGTACAACCAAATACACGTAAAGGTAATGAAGAGAATATTCGTGATGTTGGAAATGTTTTTTGAAAAAGGCTGAGTGGAGTTTGAAACTTTAAAACTTTTTATGGCAGTCGATTAATCAAATAAATTGATGTTAAAACCGCTTCTCCCCAAAGATATTTTGGAACATTATTGGTAAATAACAGGGCCCGTGCAACTTCCAAAATATGTCTATTTTTTCTTTCAGCAACTCCATTCTGTTGTGAAGTATTGTTGCATGAACTCTGTTGAACAATTCATTTTTCAGCAAAAAACTGTCCCAAAATATGTTTGAAGTTTTCTCTGCCATTATCACTTCTAAACACTTGGATGTTAGTTTGAAATTGAGTTTGAACCATATGATAGAAATTTTTGAAAATTGATTCTACCTCAGATTTTTCCTTTAGTAAATAAACCCAACTCAGTCTTATATGATCATCAACAAACCATCTTTTTCCAAAACATGTTGAAACTCAAGATGGACCCCATATATCACTATGTATTAATGAAAATGGTTTTGAAGGCTTGTATGATCGTGGAGAATAGGATGCTTTATGATGTTTTGCCGATGCACAGATTTCACATTGAAAATCAAAAGGATTCTTATTCTTGAATAGATTCGGAAATAAATGTTGCAAATAATAAAAACTAGGATGACCTAATCTAAAGTGCCACAAATATATCTCATTGTTACTAGAAACGGAAATAGACTTCAAACAGGTTCCTTGGACTGTTTTATTTGATTGAGATCCTTCGTCTAGAAGATAGAGACCTTCACACTCTCTAGCATTGCCAATCATCTTCCCCGAGACCATTTCCTGAAATTCACAATGAGATGGGAAAAAATTAACATGACATTTTAAGTCATGAGTTAATTTGCTAATTGACACAAGATTACAGGTTAGATTAGGGACATGCAGCACGTTGGAAAGAATAAACGATGGTGAAATTTTGACAGTTCCTATTCCTGCTATGGCTGAAAAAGAGCCATCTGCAATTTTTACTTTCTTATTTCCTGCACATGGTTTATAGGATGAGAAAATACTTGAACAACCTGTCATGTGGTCAGTTGCCCCAGAATCAATAATCCAAGAACAATTGGATTTGACACATGAGAAAGAAAGGACATGACTATTACCGGTTTGAGCAAAGGAACAAGACAGACTACTAGAAATTTGTGGAGATTGAAACAATTTAACAAGATGTTCTAATTGTTCCTTCGTGAATGGAGATGATCCTGAGTTAACTTGTGGTTCTTGAGAATTCTCAGCCACGGTCTGAAGAGCCCTTTCGGGTCGCTTCTTTCCTCCTGGTGGCTTACCGTGGATCTTCCAGCATGTCTCACAGGTGTGCCATAATTTTTTGCAGTAATCACACCAAGGCTTCTTCCTTCTGTCTTGATCTCCTTCTGTTGATCTTGCAGATCCTTCTTGTTCAGATCTGTCTTGTAGTCTAGAATTCCCAAGCATGATCTTCCTTCTGCCTTCTTCCATCCTAACTTCTAAAAAAACCTCACGGATGGACGGTAGTGGCCTTCGCCCGAGAATTCTCCCCTTGACTTCATCAAGACTCTTATTCACACCTGCGAGGAACATGTAAACACGATCATTTTCCTCTCTCTTCTTGAATCTCGCACAATCCTGGCTATTTTCCCATTGATCATCATGACACTGATCCAGTTCTTGCCATAATGTCACCATTTCATTATGGAAGTCTGTCACGTCTCGATCTCCTTGCTTTGCTTGCCAAAGTTTCGTTTTTATCTCGAAAATTTGAGATGAATTTTCGAGATCAGAATACGTCTCCCGGATTGAATCCCTCACCTCCTTGGTTGTCCGTAGGAACATATAAGGCTTGGCAATTGCTGGTTCCATCGAGTTGAGAAGCCACGCAGTCACCAATGAGTTCTCCGATCTCCATGTCTTGAAGTGTGGATCTGTCTCCCTTGGGTTTTTTTTCTTCTCCAGGCAGATGTCCCAATTTCCCTCGACCATCAACGACGAGCTTGACCGATTGTACCCATTCCAAGTAATTTTTTCCGTTTAGTTTGTGAACGGAAATTTGCAAGGACATGGCTGCTCCTAGTTGGTCAGCACTACTGCTTGTCGTAGTCGTAGAAACTGTCCCCGAAGTTTTTGCTGTGACCGTCGACCATGTTGGTTTTCCAGTACCAGTTTTCTCCATCACAGTTTTTTTGTGTTTCTATAGAGCCGAGGCTCTGATACCATGAAAGTTTTATGAATGGACTTCGGTGATCTTTTATTAAATCACTTAAGACTTAAATAGTCATACATACATAGGAAAGGAAATACTAAACTGCAAATCTAGGAACTAACATAACAAAAAAAACATAAATAAAGGACCTAGCCGAGAATCCCTTATTCTATGGCTAACTATCTAACTAACTTGATATTTCTAACAGTTTTCCTTTGATATTTCTTCAATGTGGTTTCGTGTAATTGTTATTGCATTTGTTGGCTTTCAAGATTTGATGAGGAGAAAGCTCTTACATGATAAGTCACTTTTTCAATCGACTTTGATTCTTGTGTTTGTTATTCTAATACTATGTACTATCTTGCTTTTGATCAGGTATGGATGTCCCAGCACGGAGGAGCTGGAAAGCTACAATAGGGAGTACAAGAAGAGATTAGATGAAGTTGGAGCACTTGGAGAAATACCCGACGATTTGGGTCTTGAGGTAAATGCATCGCTAGCTAGTTGTTCTTTTGTGGTTTTTACTCGAACAAATTCTAGTTACTTGAATTGAAATTTGACATTTCCTTTGATGCCATAGAAATACCATGAAGAATAAACGAGTAAATTTGTGTTTTGAAGGTATCAACTCCTGGGGCAATCAGATTACTAAAGGTACCGGATGACCTAGAACGGTTCAAGGACATGCCTATGCAACTATGCTACATGGCAGGTGAAGAGTCTAATTGCTTAGAAAAGAATGGGGTATTTCTATTGGACTCCCTTGAACCAGAGGCTTGCATATGGAAGTTAGCTAATGTGAAGGAAAACCGGGACCCTCTTCGCAAAGGTCGACCTTTAAGCCGAAAACAGAAGGATTGGAGATTAAAACTGCCATTTGGGTTGCATAAGACGGTATCTCTATACTTGCAGTTGTGAAATTTGCTCTTTTCCAAGAGCTATTTTTGTTATTGAAGTGAAAAGGGCTTAGATATTTAATATTTTTTTTAGTGTTTGTATAACATGTCCATTATCTATACTCCATCTTCTGTTTCATCACAAGTAATTTTGAATAAAATCCCCTTTTGGAAAGCTCCTATTTCTGTACTCTCAAATTCTACTAACGGCAAGATGTGTTTGAATAACTTAGTTCTGATAATGGACATAACTAATCTCATAATTTTCTAGGACAAGTGGCCTCATAGCTGTTCTCTTAATAAGAATATATCATTGTCCAATTTGAGCCAACTCATTCTAACCGAGCAATCATTGAATCTATTATATCTTCTCTCCATTAGACAAGTGGACTTGTTCATTTCACCGATTTGAGTTTTCAGTTTCAGTTTTGCTATAGCTAAAAGCTCTTACAAAAATCACATCTAACTTTTATGTTACAATTAAAAACACTCACATAAAATCACATCTCAATTCGAATTGAAATTTTAAATCGGCGAACTGTAGGAGTTATTAAGAGCCCGTTTAGTTCGTTGATTCGAGTTGAGATTTGATTTTATGTGAGAGTTTTTTACTGTAACAAAAAAGTTAGATGTGACTGTTTCTGAAAGTTTTTTACTGTGACAAAACTCAAATTTTAAACTTGAATCGGTGAAATGAACGGATCATAAGAGTAATTTATTACTCTTTTTTTTTTTTTAATTTTGAACTCTCACTTCTCTCTTATCATTGCTCACCTCAAGCTCAAAGTCAATGGAGGGACTTTCAAGAAATGTCCCCACAAACGTATGGAAGCTTACTTGTACAGTGAAAATTTGAATACTTCAAGTACAAGTGAATCAAAGCACGCAATGTGGCTTCTTCAATGAAGTCTTATGGTCACTATTGGCTCAATTATTTTGATGATTGTTTTTTTTTTTTTCATACTTTTTCCTGAGCTTATCTTGTTTTTGCAAATGGGTGCATATTGTTCGTCCAGTTCCAGATTTGTCTTAGATTTAAACTGAAGCAGCAAGTTGAGCTTTACCAAAAAGAAAAGTAAATTCATATCAATAGTCAAAACAATGCCAAGATGAGATGGGTTGTTATTTCCAAAACTGAAAAGAGAAAAAGGAAAGAGCACACCAAGCATTAGAGAGAAGGGGGGGAAAAAAAAAGAGAAAAAGAAGCTAAAGAGTTGGGGATAGTTACCGTTTGTCCTAATGAGTAATGAGAGAGGTGGTTGCTTGTCGGTTTCGGTTGTTCTCTCTCTCTCTCTCTTCCTCTTTCTCCCTCTCTCTTACTTATTTTGGTTGGACTTTTCATTGTTGTCAACATTGAAAACTTCAGGCAAAGAAAAAAAGCCCTGCGGGCAACACTAAGGAAGCCGTAAAAAATTTTGTATTCTTTTGATCCGTGATTCATCTCTAAATCAGCAAAAGGAGAATTCTCTCATAGGATATTTAAAAAAAAAACTCTACGGACAATCTTGAATCGTTAGATTTTAGTCAATAAAATATGATTATGATACAATTTGATGACTCACAAGTGTGTCATAATGTGGACCGTAGTTGTGAGCATAATTTAACGGTAATTATACATGTGACCCTATCATATGACGGCGAGTTCAAATCTCCCATCTTAAGTTAAAAAAAAAAATGTCATAGTGAAAATACTAAAATTTGAATGGTCATAATTTTCACCAAAATAGAACAAACCCATCAACACTAGCATGAAGGTCATAATCTTAGATCATGTTCATTTCACTTATTCGAGTTTTGCTACAGTAAAAAACTCTTAAAAATAATCACATTTAATTTTTTTATTATAGTAAAATTTTTTTACATAAAATCATATCTTAACTCAAATTAAAAATTTAAATTAACGAGCTAAACGAGTTTTTAATGAGAATAGATGGAAGATGATGGCCCCGTTCACTTCACCGATTCGAGTTTAGAATTCGAGTTTTGCTACAGTAAAAAGCTCTCAGAAACAGTCACATCTAACTTTTTTGCTACAGTAAAAACTCTCACATAAAGTTACATCTCAACTCGAATTAAAAACTCAAATCAGCGACCTAAACGGGCCCTTAAAATAGACGGGGGTGTTTGAAATAAGAGGCAAATATTCATGTAATATCGTTTGCGTCGAAACATATGCATGTCATATTTCGTAACATGAATAATTCAAACACAAAAAATAAAAATAAAATAAAATAAAAAATCAAAGTGAAAGAGTTGCGTCATTGAAAAGAGAATATGTCCATCTTTGGCAGGCCTCCAAAGTAATGGAGTAGGCTCATTATAGATAAGTGGACCACAAAACAACAAGTGGGATTGTTTTCATCTTACACCAATGTGATTTAGACACTTTTTGTTTTTTTTTTCCTCTTTTCCTCTTCTATAATGGGACTAATGCTGATTAGGTTACCCAACTCTATTGGCTAGCTAACTAAGATGTTAATATACTTTATAAACACTCTGTATTATATTACTTAATAATAATATAATAATTAGTGACATTTATATATTATATAATTTAATACGAAATTTAAAATTAATATAATACGAAGTGCGATATTTAATATGAAAAAAAATTATGTATTAAACTGTATTATGCAATTTAATTTAAAATATTATATTAAAAACATATAAAATATTTTACAAATATCAAGGCTCGTGGTTGAGTTTTGGGACCGACGTTGGGGTTGAGTTTCAGGACTAGAGTGATGTTGAGTTTATATTTTTTAAAAATTACATTTTGACCCCTAAATTTTTTAAAAATTATATAAAGACCCCTATGTGGCAACTCTACTTTCTCCCTTACTTTCTCTAAACGTTGGGTTTGGGTCGAGATTAGAGTCTAATTAGATTATGATTAGGTCTAAATTTTATCTTATTACAAACTAATACATAAATAGATTACAATAGTAAAAATAGTATGATGTTTAATAATATCACCAACCAAACACCGTATTATATAAAAATTATACAATATAATACAACGTTATATGATATAATATAATACAAAATAATACGGTACACCAGACATACCCTAAAGTTACTATGCACTAAGGGGTCCTTTTCTTAGGCTACATTTTTTGTTGCAAAAACAATTTAGTTTTGTTAACATCTACACGAAAATAACAAAATGGGCAAAAATTTGAATGTATTGAAAACAGCCCCATAATGAATTCAACCAGAGTCTTGGCAAATTGGCATTTCTAGCAGAGCTTTTTTAGTGCTTATTTGAGCAGTAAATATCTTCCAATATATGTGGGGATAATAAGTGAAAAACATTTTTATCGAATTGTCAGGTAAGTTATCTCATCTCCTGTTCTTTTTCTTTCAAGCCCCTTATTCATTTTGTCAGTTATTTGGGTAGAAAGAGACGTATGCTAATACTTTGTGAATAATAATAATAATAATAATAATAATAATAATAATAATAATAATAATAATAATAGTGGTAAATAATAATAATAATAATAACAACAACAACGGTTAGCTAACTTAGCTTTGTAAATATTTCTCCTGTATGGTTAATGAATGTGGTATTTCAACCATTTTTGGAATTATCAGATTGATATCAGTTTCATATATTTGAGTTGGATATAATTTTTATATGATTTGATGTTAAAAATCCACACTAAAAAATCTTTCCGAACAATAAAATCCTGGCAAAATAAAAAATAATAATAACATGTTTATACCTTTTGGAAGACAGCCTAACAACTGTATGTTCTTCAGAAGGAGGAACTATACTGTAGTTTGACATTAGTGAAATAACAGTTTCAATCATAGCTTAAGAAAGTTTAACAAAAAGAAGCCGCTGATAAGAATTTCAATAGCCCAATGTGACTTCCAAAGTGGAAAGTATTAATGTTGTCATAATGAAATGATGATATTCCTAAAAAATCCAATTAGGATACTTGAATTCAAACAGATGTACCCATCAAGAAATTTAATGAAGATGTTGACTATGAAAAGAAATGTGAGCGTGACGTTTGAACAGTTGATGAACATAGTCCTCCCAAGCTGATGCCCAAAAAAAAAAAAAACATTACTACAACACTTAACAGAAGTCTGAAAATTTGCATTGTCTAAGCATAGTTACAATATTATGTTTTATCATACATATATTTTTTTTGGTAGGACTTCAAAAAATAAATTAACGGTTTTAAAAATTATCTGTTATGGTAAATGAATTATTTTTATTATGTAAATAATTCATTTATGACTGATAAAAAATAATTTACGTAGTAAAAAATTTTATTTATGTAGAAATTTTTTTATTAATTGTAAAAATAAAATTTACGTGAAAAAAATATTTTTACTCATCATGCAGTAAATAATTTATTTATCACATAAATTATTATTTATTTTAAATAATTTTAAATATACTAGATTTAGTTTTAAAAATATGTTATTAACTACTTTTTTTAAGAAAAAAAAAATTGAACTGTTAACCTACTGGCCCAAGAGTGTATCAACATAATTAGGATCAATCACAAATATGTGCTGTAGCACCTGAAAATTTTCAAGACAAATAAAACAAGAAATCCATTGGAAGAAAACTGATTATTATATGCCTGTAATACATGATCATCAGTCGCACTTTCAGATTCAATGCTGAACAGGAACCTAGTTTTTGGTTGATGGATTCTAAGACCTAACAAGCATGTCAACCATAATAATCAAACGATTAATTACCATAAATGTTTGATTGATTGCTTTCCTGTTCAAGTTGGTGGGTTGGCAATTGATAATTCTGGGAGTAGAGAGAGAGAGAGAAATTTTCCATACTCTCTTTGTTCTTGGAATAAAATTTGTCTCAAATTAAAGAATATTTTTAAAACATTATTTGTCCAAAACTTTGATAATATATAGTAGAAGAACTGAACTCAAACCACGTAACTCGGAATTTAAAAGTTGACAAATCTTAGCTAGAAATAATAAACTAAACAAAATAACTAGCCTCACAAATTACAAAGAAATAATAAATAGGGAAAAAGAAAAATCCTAAATAATTTTGGAACAGGAGACTCTAAAATTGGCCTAGAATAGGAAATGCTGCTTGAGTGCATGCGTAACTTGCTTTGCTCTTTGTTCTTAGAAATAAAATCTAGTTCAACTGTAGGGATT